ACCAACATCTGGTGAAAATTTCATGTCATTAGCACCTCTAGTAATATATTTACTGAGAAAAATGGTGACGTGTTCAATACTTATTTTACCTGCTGTTCATTTACTCCACTATAACATCATCAGAGGCCATTCTGGCCATAGTCCTTTATGGCAAAAAGCATATCCAAGCAGACACGGTTTGCGTTGATATTCTGTGAAGATAGTATACCCCGCCTTACCCCACAAAAAATCTAAATAAAAAAAATTAAAAGTTTTTTTAAACTGCTGTCACATGATGATCTCTAAACTGCATCCAGTTGTTTTAAGAACCCCTTTCATATAAACTGTTTGACCAGCTGGTAGCATCATTTCTTCTTCAGATAACCTGAATGACTTCTTTAAAATCTGACGGTTCATTATGTTGACTTTAAAGGTAACAGCTTGAAAAAGCTGAGCTTACCTGTTGTTAGGACTAAAATAGCATTTTCTTTTTCGTCTGTGCACAGTGGCGCCACCTGGGGGGGGGGGTGCAGAAGGGAAATAACCGCCACCTTTAAAACTTGGTCATTTATCTTCAGTAGATTTAGTGACATCCTTGATGTTTCCGTTTTTAAATAAAATGTATTGAACCTGCCATAATTCAAGAGTAACACTTTCCCTCCTCTTTAATTCAGATCAGAAGTTCCAACGCACTCAGTTTGGCTTCACTTCCATGAACAGGTACGACACAACGTAATGCTATAACAGATAGGGGTGCAACAATACATGTATCCGTATCGAACCGTATCGAACAGTGCTGATCAAACAATACAGATTTAAAAAAAATTAGTTTATCAACATGTCTTCTGAAGATGCTCTGTGTTGAAGGATCAGTGGATCTGTGTTCGACTACTCCACCTAGGCTGTATTTTTGAGCGCAGATCCACTGAGAAACTTGCTGTTTCAGCAACATTTAATTAAAAAACTGTACTTTTGAGGATAAACAAATGTTCTTAATTAACATAAATAAATTAAAACAAGTTAAAAGGGGCATGGACATTTCTCTTTTTTTGTATCGAAAAAATATCGAACCGTGAGACTAAAGTATCGAACCGAACCGTGAATTTCCTGTATCGTTGCACCCCTAGTAACAGACTATGTTCAGCAGAATGTCAGAGCAAATGTTGATCAAGCCTCACATGTTTGTAGAACTGTGCAAATAGGTTTATGTCAAAGATAATTGACATCACTACAAGTTTAAAGCAGCCACAGACCACAGAAAATTAACATTCACCTTTCAAGGTACAGCTTGAGCGACAAGCTCGTACTTTTTAGGAACATTTCTGTACCTTGAATTTTTTTAGTATACTGTATATGGAGCAATACTTACTAAATCACTAAGTGAAACATTTTTATTAAAGGTGTAAGTCAGTTAATTCTATCCTTACAACCACAAACTTGTTGCTCCTAGAACGTCTCACTATGTACTGCAAAGGTAAAGATAATAAATCTGCTTTTTAATATGTTTTTGTCAACCAGGTGTACAATTTATTTGCCATATTAGTTGATTGAAGTATTTTTACAGCACAAGTTACTCAAAGGTTTAATTACTGTACAAATAGTACCTCAGATAGTCTGACCAGTCTGATGTGACCCTCAGGGAAGATGACCACAAGTACAGCCACCAAACAATAGTTATAATGGAGAACGACGCAGCAGTGACGGAATCGGCTACAAACTTGTTCAAGAGGCATCAAACTGCATCGACTCTCATGGTGTACAACAATGGATCACTGCATACCCTCCACAGAAGCCTTATGTCTCCATCCCAGCACACAGGTGTGGTACTGGTTGGCCATGGAAGTCAGACGACCACAGGAGCATTCCTGTTTGCAGGTTTCAGCCCAGAGGAACTTGCCGGACATGTTTCCACCCTGAAGACTGAATTCATAACGGGTGACATCGATGCAGTCAGCCTCATTGGCTGCAACCTTGGAAATGACCAGCACTTTGCCCTGAGGATGTTACAAAGTCTTCGATCTGTCAGTGTGGAAACAAAGCTGCACTTACACACTGACCTCCTTTCAGTGAACTCTGACGGGGAGATAATGACGGGAAGAGATGGTATCTGGAGATCCCACGACCCCAGCAGCAGAGTCACTGCTGAGCTCAGCCCAACAGGCAACCTGTTGACCAGTAAAACACTAGGCTGTGCTGGTTCAGTCTTTCCAAATTATAAAGGAAATAGTTTGTATCACCACTCCTTGACGTGGCCGAGACATCCCCAAATGTTTGTTCCATTGGAGTTACGCAAAAAGTACCCGTCCATTGACTGCCTGGAGGGTCTTACCTGGAGCTTGTTTTTTGAGGAGAGTGACAAAAAACGTGCCCCCAATTACACCCCAAAAGACAATCGCCTGGACGCAGTTTGGCTTAAAGAGCAAGACATGATCCAAGTGGACAATATTGTCCTAAAACATATCTCTAACATTCAAGATCTGCTGGTGGAGATACGGTACACCGCCCGAGAGGAAATCACTTCGGATCTTTTCTACGTTCTAAATGAATGCATTTACAAAGTGCACGGCTATAATCTTAGTGTAAGTTTGATGGGAAAATTCATGAGAACCGATGACGAAGCTGAAATAGAGCTTTTCCGCCAATCCTTCAGTGACCAGCAGAGGGAGTCCTCCCTGCAGGAGATGCAACAGGGTCTCAAAGCGTCAAAATTCACCGATTTCTGCCGGCAGACGTTTCAGTTCCAACAGTGCACCTACAACTGTGAGAGATGGGGCCGGTACTTCATGTCAGCCGTGTTCTCAGCGTCGGTACGCAACTTCAGAACCTTTTCTCTTTTCCTCATGAGCGTTATCGGCTGTGAAGTAGGGCGTTCTGGGGGGTCTGACAGCCCCCTGTGCTCAGCCTTTGTGGGAGATGACCACCCCATGATAACGGATGAGCCCTGGCCCGAACAGTTGAAGCGAGGATTCTACGGCTGCACGGTTGATAATTATCAGATGGCGCCGCAGAACAGACAGTCTTGGTTAGATCAAGTTGTAGCAAAGGAAAATGCACTTTACGTTAAATCCAAGCAGATAATGGATGCTTTCAATCACAAAGACGAAACGGAGCTGGACATCTTTGGGAAGATCAAAGTAATGAATAAGTACGTGTTCTCGTCTTATCTTGAATATTTTCGAGGTACACCTGAAGGGAAAAAGCTCAAGAGAGGATGCACCTCTGGTTTTCAACAGAACTGAAGTAACTTCAGTCTAATGTCTGATATTCATTTTTATGTGTGAATATTTTAGTTGGCTGCAATTTCAGAGGATCAGATTACAATACTGCATGTAGTGCTGCAAAGTACAGTCAAAGGGGAAAAAAAGAAAAGAAAACCCACCCTCTTTTAATTATATGGATTCAACAATGAAGACACAATAAGAACGATCAGGTCTCAACAAATTCACCAGCTTGACTTTTTCACAAGGGGTGGCACAGTGGTGGACAAGGTGTGTTTTAGGGGGGCACTTATAGGTAAAGAAAAGCACTGTGAAAATTCAAGATGGCCACCACAGCTAACTATAAAAGGCTATAATTTAGCCATTATAATACTTATTGAGTTTTGTTGTGGAGAAGCTAAGAATGATCACATGCCAAATGCTAGAACTAATTTTACAAAGTGCTATAATTCATCCATTTTTAAACACACAGCTAAAAAATTATACAGTAAAGAGAACAATCTTTAACAGAATTTAAATGCAAATACAGAATCCAAGATCTCCACCCAGTTGTCAATTATTTAGGGGGGTGGCACCTGGGGTGGCCAATCAGGTGCCAGGGGTGCCACCCCTCTGGCTCCACCCCTGAAATTCACCTAAAGGTCAGACTGTGGCTCAGAATTACATTTTGTTTGATAAATAAGATGAAATCTGTTGTGTTTTTCTGCATTTGGTGTTGGATTTGAATAATCTTACAACCCGGTAAAGATCAGAGTCAGAGACGGTGTGTATTACGTCCTGATTTATAAATCTAGAATTGACTTTCTTTTCTCTATGACTGTTTACACAAACTGCCTCAGCTTCTTGTTTTATCAAAAATATTTAAAATCAGATAAACCTATTAATTTAAAAACATCATGGCTTCTTCAGGCTTGTGTGATTCTTATTGTTAAAGAATAAATGGTAGAAAAAAAGAAAATACAACCTTTTCTTTTATTTACTTTTCTGTTCCCCTGGTTAATGACTGTT